ACACATGGACATTCTTCTAAACTGAGTTCTTTTATCTAGCTATATAAAAGCGAAATCCCACTCATGCATCATCACAAAATCTCCAGCACCATCAAGCCTACAAACTTGAAATTTGGCACGTATGTTCCTTTTGGCTTCTAGGTGCTCGCTAAGAAAGGATTTTTCCAAATGACCATCAGAGCTATTAGTATTTCCTATATTATTATTATTAATACGCTCTGATGCTAAGGAGTTCTACTCCCCCTCCCCACCTGAAAAGAAATCTCTTCTAAATGCAAAACACAAGCAGAGGAGAGGAGAGGTTCTGTTTCAGAGCACCAACCAGCTTTAGCACAGAACAGTTGAGCTAAGCCACGCTCAGGCTCCTTGCTGTCTTCTTGCTCACACAGCAAATACTGCTTCAGTTTCCAAACAGCCCTCAACCCTCACACACTGACAGGACGCTAGCCAGATGAATACTGATGGATGCTGGTAGGCAGAGGCACAATTTTTTTCCCTTGTTCTCCTCCCCAAAAACTAAGCCCGACTACATAGTTTCATAGTGAAGCACAGGTATTGAGCTAGTAGTTTCACAGGTTGTCCTTGACTTAACAATTCGTTTAGTGACCAAAGTTATGATGGCATTGAAAAAAATGACTTACGATGAGTTTTCACACTTAATGACTGTTGCAGCATGATCACATGATCAAAGTTCGGATGTCCAGCAAACTGACTCATATTTGTGACGGTATACCCTCTTTGTTCAGTCACTTGGAGACGTGTGGATATCAACTCCCCAAATCCCCCAGCCGGCATGAACAAACATGCTCAATAAATTTTTTTAAAAAGTGGCAGTCACCATCCGGAGTGATCCCACCTGCCCAGTGTCCCATTACCTTTTTTCATCCATGAATCTGAATGGGATGATGAAGTCTTCAATAGGAACCAACTCTTGAGCTGCTCTTTCCAATTTTCTGATTTTCTTTTTCAGCCTTTCTCTTTGAGCGTAGTCCTTCTTTGGATCTACCCTTTTCTTCTTCCTCGGGGGCTCGGCTCTAATGGATGGGGCGGGGGGGGGGGGGGGGGGGGGGATAAATTAAATATCAGCCGTCACTTGAATTTGGTAGAATGCTATTTCGCTGTCTCAGAATGACTTCAATGGGAAAAAAAATCTCAAAGTCACGGAAGGTTGTAGTGTTGTTCAATCCTATGACTGATTTATGACTTTTTTTTTTTTGCTATTTCCCGTCTTTGGGGCCGGTTTAACCCCCCCCCCCCCCCAAAAAAAAGTACCCATAGAAAAAAATTGTAAAATTGAGTCAGTCATATAAGACAGATTTCCAGGCACCATTATGGTCAGAAGTTGAGATTGCACACGTGTGTGTGTGTGTGTTTACTCAAACGTAAATCCTGTTGGATTCAGCAGCACTTTTTCCTACATAAGCAGAAATTAAATTACAGCCATATTGATTAACTTAAGTGCATTGGATTAATTTGAAATGTGAACTTGGAAAAGCAAGCAGAGCTCCTCACTCCAGAACATTTAATGGATTCTCCCAGTCAAATTACCTTTTCTTAAGATACTGTTCACTGTAAAGATAAAACATGTGTATGAATTGTAAGGAGCCTGGCTGGCCTCATTCACAGGACTAAGCCAAGAAAGCTATAGTTATTTATCTATGTTTCAACAAATGGTAAAAACACATGAGAAATGTTCAGAAGTAATTAACAAGATGAAGATTTCAATCACTATTCATCCAGGAATAATTTCAGCTCATTCATTATCAGCCAAAGTTAACCTCGTTCAATTCTTGGGATTATAAAAATGAGTGAACCACAAGATTCCACCATTTCTCAGAGAAGGTAAGGAAAATAATACATTTTAATAGCTCTTCTTATATTAACAGGTAGAAAGGATCAAATAAAAATTTGGGATTTACTTTACCTCATGGGCAGAGCTGTTCTCAGTTCCAGGAGGGAAGACTGCCAGTGGTTCGCTCGGAGTTGTCCATTCCAGATTAACTGAGAACTAAAAGTGTATATAATGTCAATCAAGGGTGGTTGCGGAGAAATTAGAATAAGGAAAGTGTTTTGGATATGTCTGCCACCATGAGTTATTTGTAAAAGTAATAAAGGCACAAATGAATAGAAATAATAGATAGAAGCTTATCAAACTTAGAAAAAATTTCCTGACCATTAAACAAATAATTCCCTCAACATTGTCCAATTATTTACAAAGTCTGCACTTCTATTACTGTTAATCTTCTCATTACTCCTTATCACCCATCCCCTCCCATTTGTGACTATATGACTGTAACTTTGTCACTTGTATCCTTACAATTTATATTGACTGTTTCCTAGTATGATTTGATCGCTTATTGTACCCTATGACTATCACTGTTGTACCTGATAATTCTTGACTCTTGCCGAATGTATCTTTTCTTTTATGTACACTGAGAGCATTTGCACCAAGACAAATTCCTTGTGTGTCCAATCAAACCTGGCCAATAAAGAATTCTATTCTATTCCTATTCTATTTCTATTCCTATTCTATTTCTACTCTTATTCTATCCTATTTCTATTCTATTTCTATTCCTATTCTATTCTATCCTATTTCTATTCTATTCCTATTCTATCCTATTCCTATTTTATTCTATTCCTTATTCTATTTCTATTCTTATTGTACCCTATGACTATTATAAATTATTGTACTTTATGATTCTTGACTCTTGACAAATGTATCTTTTCTTTTATGTACACTGAGAGCATATGCACCAAGACAAATTCCTTGTGTGTCCAATCACACTTGGACAATAAAGAATTCTATTCTATTCTATTCTATCCTTATTGTACCCTATGACTATTATAAATTGTTGTACATTATGTTTCTTGAAGAATGTATCTTTACTTTTATGTACCCTGAGAGCTTATGCACCAAGACAAATTCCTTGTGTGTCCAATCACACTTGGCCAATAAAGAATTCTATTCTATTCCTATTTCATTTCTATTTCTATTCCTATTCTATCCTATTTCTATTCTATTCTATCCTATTCCTTTTTTATTCTATTCTATTCTATTCTATTCTATTCTATTCTATTCCCTTTTCT